GGACGGCTAGCGCAGATGGCCCTCGTGTAGCTTTGCGCGAAATTCAAAAACAAACAAACAAACAAATAATCTTTATTCGTTGAACAAATTCTGTCTGATTCACGTTTTCCAAATTGCCATACGCTATTCCAACAACATTATTTGAGATTTAATTTGGATGTGGGTGTGGTAGGAGGTTAACTATTACGGGGGATTTTTCTAAAGCGAAAGTTCAATAATATATGTCCTGGTATTATAATGTACTGTAACGTTACAGAACACAGAAAAAAAATTAAAACTGGTACTTTATTGGGCGGAAGAAGGGGACAATCTCTCTTCCTGGCCCCCAGTGGCACAGCGGTATGTCTACGGACTCAAACCGCTAGAAACCGGGCTTCGATACCCGTGGTGGGCAGAGCACAGATAGCCACATTGTGTAGCTTTGTGCTTAATTACAAACAAACAAACTCTCTTCTTGACCCCATTGTTGCTTGATAACGTCAGAGGATGGGCTAAGAATGTTTAATAAAACTGTATAAATTTGGAACACATTCTTTAATCGTATGTAAATCCCTAAAACATCTTTACTTCATAAACTAGAAGTTTTGAATCATACTTCTCTAAGATATAATTAAAGAATAACATCTGAATCTAATTGTCAATTTAAAAGATGTTGTGACCAAGTCCACTGATTGATTGTTTTGTTTTGACATATTTTTTTTGGTGAGAACACATCTAGATAAACTCGTGTGACTTTAGAAGGGAACACATCCAGATAAGCACATATGACTTTAGAAGAGAACACATCCAGATAAGCACATATGACTTTAGAAGAGAACACATCTAGATAAATACTTGTGACTTTAGGTGAGAACACTTCTAGATAAACGCATGTGATTTTAGGTGAGAACATATCTAGATAAACACATGTGACTTTATAAGGGAACACATCCAGATAAGCACATATGACTTTAGAAGAGAACACATCTAGATAAATACTTGTGACTTTTAGGTGAGAACACTTCTAGATAAACACATGTGATTTTAGGTGAGAACATATCTAGATAAACACATGTGACTTTAGAAGGGAACACATCTAGATTATCACATGTGACTTTAGGTGAGAGCATCTCTAAGTTACCACATGTGACCGAGGAAAAAATGCCCTCTTCAACGCACCTTAAGTGTCCCTTAAGCAAACAGGTCCGGTGTTAGGGACTGCAGCAACTGGGGCAGTACGTTTTTGAGTGTGGGCATACCTGTAGATATTATACAAAATATTACCTTTATATTTATTTCTTCACCAGAAAAATAGAAAATCCCGTTCATTGTTAAAGAGATTGACTAAAAAAGCTAAACGAAACAAAAGCGAATGTGCCTGAAAGTGAAAGTTGTCTCACCTCTCTTGGCGCCTGTACAGCAATGTAGTCGTTGTATATTTTTCGGGCTTTAGAAAGAAGTTTATTGATACGTGATTTTTTGAAGTCTTCGCATGCCAGCCAGAATTCAATATTCTCCTCGCTGAACTCCCTTGACAAGAATGCCCTGAACAACGCTTGACCATCTGTAGAAGAACAAAAACCCATTAAAAAATGGAGATTTGAAAGGACTTCTATATCATACAGATTAGTGTTTAAAATAAGATGAACGATAAGGGCTTCTACTGTTGAGCCCTCCTCCTTTTGTGCCAATTTGTTGAAGCTAATGGGCTTGCTACACTTAAATGCGTGATTTACTTTTATTCTGTTATAACCCAAATGTCTCACTTTAAAAGTTATAACTACTTCCGAGTGAATATTATTTTCATTGATATCTTTCTGCCTCCATGAAAACTCTTTTACTTCCCCTTTCTTTATCAATCCTCTGTAACCTTTAATAATATCTAGACACAAATCGTTGTTCAAAGCATATGTTAAAAAACGACTTATTTGGATTTTTTTTTCGTACTTCGCTATCAAATGCCTCCCGTTGGCTTGTTTGTTTTAACGCAAAACCATATTTGGTTATCTTCTGTGTCCACTGTTTGGAAACGACCCCTTCCGGTGGCTCAGCGGTGAGTCAGTAGGCTTATAACGCTAAAAATGGGGGTCAATACCTGCGGTGGGTAGAGCAAAGATAGCCCATTGCTAAGTAATTGAACAAGTTGCTAATCTGTTTAGATATCCAAACAAAGTGTAGCAATTATTTTCTTATTGGTTTAAAATTTTATTATACATATTCATATACTGATTCAATTCCTTTAAAATTACAAAGGAAAACAAAATTTGACATAAGGTGCTCGAATCACAATTAATGTGACTTACATTTACTGGACATTAATTCCTGGAAAGACTCCGCCCATTTCTGAACTACTTCTCTTGGTGGTCGGACAGGTTGCTGGAAAGAAGCTTCCACCTGTCTCCGCCGAAGGAAGCTCAGCCTCATCTTCATATCCTGAGCCCTGGAAAGACAGGCGATAAATACATTTATTGTCCTTCATTAAAACAACATCAGTTTTACTATGAAAAAAATCCATTACATTATTTTTAGTTGTTATTTTTTTCGTGAAAAAAGTGTATAAATTAGTTAACAACGCTAATATGAAATATATATATAGGAAACTTGGTATAAAACATAAGCCAAAACAGATTATCCCAATATTTTATATTAATCTAGAACTTAATGCTAAAAACTTAATTAATCAAAATCCAAGTAAAAGATGAAAAAAAAAAAAAAACCGAGTCTTTATCTGACTTTGATCTCAGCTACGACTTTTAGGCTAAGCCTATTCTATTAAGATCGGTACCAACTTACATGACTAGTGAAGTTAGCAAAGGCGGCTTGGGTGTCTATGATAATGTGACGAGCTAAGAACTAACCACAGTGGCAGGCTTCATTAGCCGGAGTTTTTTGTTTAGTTTTTCTACGTCAGTCTCATTGTACTGGCAAGTTTACGTCTATCAATTTGAACGCGCTTGGTGTCTGCTGTTGAAATGCAAAAACGACGGCATCTTAAATCGTTGCTCTCTTCCCAAATTCGTCTCCCTTTATTTACTTCTTTTACTCGATTTTCTCTTTCTGTGTGTGCGTGTGTGTGATCTAACGGATAAAGTTTCGAGCTTTTTTAACGTACTTTCTGGGGTCGACAACCCCTCATTCTGTGACAAGATAAGAATAAACCAAAATGAAGTTAATAAGGGCTCTTGCCATATATGGTAATATGAATATGTCGTCAATACCAACCACTACATCCACAAAACTGTTTTGTTGATATTTCAATCGTCTGCTCATTCGTGTGGCAGTGGTAAGTCAAATCAGTGAACGATTTCGTTGTCATGGTTAGTAGCCTAACCCTAACAATTTAATTTAATTACTACTTTGTTACTACTTTAGTTTTCATTAAATATTAATTTGTTTTTATCGGTAAGAGCCCGAACGAGTGATGAAATACCTGCTTTTTTTTAACAACAACAAAAACACGTTCGAATCCCAACTCCAAATGCCACTATATCTACAGTAATATCAGGATACCCTTGCAGGCAGCAGCCGGCGCATAAAATATAACTAACTGGTAATTAATGGCTAATTCCCGCTCTTTCCGGGAACTTCGTTATATTTTTGTTTAGCCAGAGCTGCAGATTATTGTTCTTAATATAATCCAATATTCTAAACAAGGCCGAGTGAGATTGTTTAAAAATTCAGCCAATTCTTATGGGTGATTATATTTTATTTGTCTGTAAAAAAATTAGTACAGGTATTGAACAACATTTGCAAGTTCATGCGTTCCGTATCTGTCAACACTACACCAGTCCCTTGCAAAATATTAGTACAAATGTTTAGATAGAACAAGACAAATCCCACTCACAGAGTTTTCCTTTCTTTTTTCTGCTTTTCATCTACGTCATACGCTGTTGATTCCATGGACTTAGTCTTTGTAACAGGCTGTAAAGACATAGAAAGATGGATGTGGAATACAAATGTTACCATCAGTTTAATTTAAATGTCATCACGAATATCATTATACTTTCAACAAGGAAAAAAACAACAACTGTGGAGTTTGAAAAAAAGACATTTCTTGTTGTTTTCCAAGGACATTATAAGAATGTTGCTGTATTTATAATGCACACTTTATATCTTTACATGACACAACATCCTGATTTACTGTCCTTCTTGCACACTAATTGGAGAACAGCATCAACAAGCAAGTATTACAAAGTACTTTGTATATATATATAACTGTCTTAAACGCATTAGAATGTCTTCCTGTTTCAGAAGTAGTTGAACAATAAATAACATGGACAAAAAAAAAAAAAGTTGAATACGATCACGGTCGTTTCTCAACACAGGAAAGGATCCTTAACACGTGCTTTTTTGTTGTTGTTAAATTATGATTATGGTTCATGGTATTGAATGTGTGAAGCTCAGAGTCTGAGCATGTTCCGTCCGAGTACACAGGGTGATATGCTAAACCGTTTGTTTTAAGAAATTTTAAGGTTTCATGTTAACAGCAGTCACACAGACAAAAACACTAAATTCCACGCTCTTTTGTCCCCAATTAAAACACTCAATGACTCGTAAATAAATGTTGAAGATGAAAATGAAATTTATTTTCTTAAAAGATTGGTTACAATGAACGGAGTTTTTTTTTTCATTTTATACGATTTTAATAATAAAATATTTTAAAATATTTTCTCAGCAAAATTTCTATTCATAAATAAATAAATATAAATTCTTATGAGATATTACTGTTTAGTTAATTCACACTTCTCTTTCAAACTGATTCTTCAATAGTTCCATGCACAATTGGTCATTGATGTGAAATCACACCAGCGTAACTTTTGTCTAAAGAATTTAAATACGTAATAATGCAAAAAAAAACAAAAAAAAACAACAACAAAATACATACTACCCGCTATTAATTATAACTAGCATATAAAACCCGTACTTCGCTGCGGGTTTAAAGGCCCCAATATATTAATGAAGCTCCTCCATTATCCTGAATTACTTTTATATCTATCCCAAGAGGGGTCCTTACCCGATAAAACAGAAAAAAAAAGTTAGGACACATGGTTGTGGTAGTCGAGCACGTGTACCAAGTTTATTCACAACAGCTTGTCAGTGAGAGTAGTAAACATTTTCTGGAAAGCTGGATGACCTTCATGACGTCACAGTACTCCCTTTTTATATATATCACTCATTTGATTACACCACCATTCACAGTTTGCCTCTGAAAAAGAAAGGTCCACCTTTCGAAAGCGCTCGGGTAAAAGGGTTTTTATCCATTTTTACATAAATAAGGTTATCCTAGAACCACCCCAAGTCGACTTGCCAAGTTTGGTCCTGCTAGCTTTAGAACTGTGGTAGGAGTTAGCTGAGCCTACATAAATGCAAAGCTACAAGTTAAATTAATATAGTACATATAGTACTAATTACATAAAATCAGAATTTAAAACAAACTAGAATACCGACATTTAAAGCTCATTAATACAAGAAACAACTGATTATTCACTAACTCGTCAAATATGAATTTCAAATGAACAAAGATAATATTTTTATCAAAAAAAAATTTTCATTAATTAGCAATTTTCATCCAAGTTGATTTTCCTTTGGTTTGTTACGCGATTGATCACTGACATATATATAAAGCTTAAAAATTACATTAGCATGAAATTTATCTCAATAATTTAAATACATAATCATACAAAAGCATACTTCCCGCAATTATTAGCGCTAATTACATAAAATAAGCGATCACAACAAACAAGCACACTAACCCGAATGTCTACATTTGAAGCTTACTAATATGCTAAATGTAATTCAATAAGATAAACTAAAATAAAGCTCAAGTGAAAAATTATATTTTGGGGTACTGAAGTAAATTTATAGTAACTGATTATACCGTGAAGTTAAAATTATTATTTAAGCATTATTGATAATGTATTCTATAAAATCTATATATATAAAGCACAAAAAAAATCCGTGTTTGTCCGTTATCTAACTATTCCTAAATCACTTGGCCAATCTCAACCAAACTTTGTGTGATGATAGTTTGGAACAAGGGGCACGTTAATGGGTAGTTAACAGCCTCTTCCATACCCCCATTATAGCTCTTATTGAGCATTTATTATTTTTGACTTAAGTTAGCGTTAACTGCATTCATAGATGTCGTCACGTCCTTATACAAAAAAATATTAAATTTTCTATAAGTATAACACAACTTATACAAAGAGTTTGGAGAGGGACACAAACGTCCTATATACCTAAGAAATTGTGCTAGTACTCTCTATGGAGGAATGCAATAAAAATAAATGGCTGCAAATATTGCAATAATACATAAACTCAGCTAAAGTTTCTATTCCAACAGCCATCATAAGGCTGATATGAAGAGCAGCTTCTTGAGTTATACCCACTTGCTACATTGACTTGTGACGTTTCAACTTCGGGCCGAAGACATTTCTGTGTCCATTGAGCATCAATTAATTAATCACGTGAAACAGTGTGGAAGGACACTAAGAGCTGGGTGTTGAAAGCACGCTTACCCCCACTACTTTAGCCTTTGCCTTTTAATACAAACTCACCCTGTTTTAAGTATATACATATTGAGTTCTTAAGCCTTATACAAAACTTTTGGTGAGGT